TTTAATCACTATTTTTTTTAATTGGTAGAGAAGTCATTCTCCATTGCTTCCCATTTTGTTATCCATTTCCTGACTTCTTCTGCCTCCTGAAGGAGGAATTGATCAAAGTAAACACAGACATTTGCTCACAAATTGGGACCTCGCTGTGTATCACAACATATTGGATATCTCCCACCTCACTTATAGTTCCTGTATCCCGAGTGCTGAGTGCAGTGTATGAAATCCAAGATCAGAAGTGCTTCTCACATCACTGGAGAAGATGATAAGAGCTTTCCCAGATATCTGCTGCCACCGACAGCTCATTAACACATGGCCCCCCCAAAAAAATCACCAGCGTGCTCCAAAGGGAGAAGGTAAATCCTAAGAGGTGCCAAACAGGAATCCTAACAGTCACAATCAAGTTAAAATAATACAGGAAATGAAAAAAAAAACCACATAAGTTCATCAAGAGAGTTGTCTGCAACACCTCAACCTAACTTCCCATTCCACAGCTTGGAAAGGTTTGGCATATGAGAATTAACTTGTGTACCCCCTAAAGGAATTCTTTCCCCTGCATCTGTCGGTCAAAACACAGGCTACCACTTCTCCTTCCCAAAATGTCTCTTGCTCATACCTTTTCCCCATCACATTCCCCCTACAACCTCCAATTTTAGCAGCCTCTTAAGAAAACGCGGAACTCTGCCTCAACACAGCGCCCCTGGGAATACTGACCACAGTCCTGGGATAGCAGGCTGTTCAAGTAAGGGAAACTGATCCGCTTCAGCTCATCCAGCTTCTCCTTCAGCTTTCTGACCTGGCTGTCAGAGCGGCTGATCCTCTGCCTCAGGAGCTTCAGCTCTCCGTTCTTCTTCTCCACCTGCTCCCGCAAGCAGCACACCTGGCTCTTGCTCTGCCGGGAGGAGAAGCAGTACGAGTGGAGGGAGTCGATGAGCTTGCAGGCCCCCGAGGCCGACATGATGACCTCGTTGATGGACATGGGGTTGGCGTCCGTGTCGCCCTTGCGCCCCACCACGGCCTCGGCGGCCGGGCGAGGGGTCAGGTCGGCCGGGGACGCCGACAGGCCCTGGGAGGGTTTCTGGGGGGTCGCGGTGAGGGAGGAAGTCGGGGACACTTCTGCTGCGGCCTTGTCGTGTGCCAGGAGGTGGCTGCTGCAGCTCGGCTCCACGTCTCGCTTTGGCCTCTTCCTTTCCAGCTGCTCTTTCAGGAGGGACGGCCTCTCCCTGGCGTGCTTGGAGGAAAAGCTGTACGAGTGGAGGGAGCCGATGAACTTGCAAGCACCGGAGGCAGGAGGGGTGAAGTCGTCGACCGACACGCCACTTCTCTCTGCCACCCAGCTCCCCACCCAGCTGCCCCTGGGACAGTCCTCCTCCACAGGAGACCTCTTGGGCTTCTTCTGAGCTCCACGCTTTGCACCCAAACTATCCCCTAACGTCCTTCTCCGAGGGCCGTCCAGCTGGCTGCGAAGGGCCTCCGTCTCCTCCGACATCGAGCCCATTTCCACTTGCAGAGTCGCCTCCTCCATCTCTTCCGTCCCTTGCATCACCATGAAGTCCTGGTCAGAAGACGGGGCCCTCTGCGCTACCTCACTGCCTCCTTCCCGCGGGGCTTCCCCATCCCGCACCTGCCTCGCTATTTTCCTTCGGCTCCTGACATAATCCAGCTTGTCGTGCTTCTTCTCCGCGAGCTGGAAGATGGTCGGGACAGCAGTGGGCTTCAGCAGCCGGTGCTGGTCTTCCAGACGCTTGGAGAAGCTGTCTTTGGTGAAGTGTTCGCTGCAAAGAAAGGAATACTTGGTGGGGGTCCAGTTGTCTCTCTGAACAGCTTTCAGCCACTGAATCAAGCGCTTCGAATCCTTCAGAGGGAACCTAAAAAACAAATAAGACAGAACCTGTGAAAAAATAAGCCACCTTTGGGAAATCAGAAGGGCTGGTGCTCTTCGGATCACAGAACCACGGAATCATAAAATCCTTAAGGTTGGAAAAGACCTCCATGGTGCTCAAATCCAAGGTGATGGTCAAGTTTAGGAGGTTCTGGTGATAGCTGTGTTTTGAGAGGCTCCACTCATTTAAGGATTTTTTTCATTTTAGGCTGAAATATTTGATATTCGTTCCCTGCTTTAACAGCTTCACTTCACAAAAAGCACAGGACCAGAAGGTGTCGTTTTCATTTTCATCAGCAATCGACCCCCATTATTCGGCTCACCTCCCCCACGAGGAACAACACCCTGTCCACAAGGAAGGGGGATGTGACCACCACTAGAACACCCAGCTCAGCCAACACGCTGCCCACCGCCGCCTCCGCTGCCCGGGCGATGCTGACACCGGGTGTATTTAATAACATTCAATAAGGTGTAGAAACGCCTGGAGTGAAAGAAAGGCTGAGCAGAGGAACCAGGCGCCGTTTCCAATGGGACTCCCGAGACAGGGACGTTCCCCTGGGGACCCACCCCAGGGAGCGATGGGGGGCCCGGGGGGCTCGCACGGAGGGGGCTCGGGGAACAGGCCGGCGGTGGGCCCGGGCCCCGCGGCCAGGGGCGCTCCCGCTGCCCGGCCGGCGCTGAGGCTCCGGGAGCCCCGAGCCGGTTCCCCCCGAGGGAAACAAAGGGCGGCCGCTGCCGGGGGGAGCCCGGCGGGGGGAGCGGCACCGGGGCGCGGGCGGCCCTGCCGCGGCACCTGCGCGGGCCAGGCGGGCCGCCCTTACCTGTGGAAGGAGACGGCGCCGCGGCGCGCCTTGCCCTGCCGGTTGGAGCAGTTGGCGGCGGCGCAGCAGATCACCATCTCCGGCCGCCGCCGCCGCCCTCGGCCGGCCGGGCCCGCCCCGGCCCCGGCCCCGCCGCGCCGCCGTACGGCAAGATGGCGGAGCCGGGTCACCGCGGCGCCCCTCGCCGCTGGGGAAGGGGTTTCTGTACGGCACAACATGGCGGCCGCCACATGGCCGCCGCCATTTTGGCCGGGAAGCGGCCGTACGGCGTCCGTGCCGCGGGGCCGGTGGGGAAGGAGGGGGTCGCTCCCGGCACCGCTCGCTTGCCTCCTCTGCGCTGTTGGGCGTCCTCCTCCCGACGAGCCGCTCAGTCCGCGGCGGCCAAGCCGTCAAAGGCGTCTCCGAGATGGGCGGGTATGGTGGGGGGGGTTACCTTCACGGGGAACGAGGGGCGGGGCTTGTCCAGCTCCGTACAACAAGATGGTGGCGCCCATTTATCACAGCTTCCCCGGGCGTATATGTCACGGGCCGCGCCCACCGGCGCTCCGCGCAAAGAGAAGAGCCATCACTGGCCGTCCCGCCGCTCGGCTCCAGCGCCTGTTCCGCCGCCGCCCCCTCTCCTCCCGCACCGCCGCTCCGTACGGCAACATGGCAGCCTCCACCGCGCCAGGAGAGAGGCGCGGCGCGCCGGGTCGTGACGAGCGCCACCGGCAGCCAATGGGCGCGGGGGCCGGCGGCGAGCGGCGCTGCCATTGGCCGGACGCGACGCGTCGCTCCATCTGCCGCGCGGGGCCGCGCCGGGCGCGAGTGTCGCGGGGCCGCAGCTCGGCGGGGCCGCCATGGACGCAGGTGGGTCCGGCCCGGCCTGGCGGCCGCTCCCCCGCGGGACCCCCCGGCACCGGCGGCCGCTCGGGGTCCGCCGCTCCCCGGCACCGCCCGCACCGGCGCGGCCTCCCCAGCGGGCGGCGGGGAAGGCGCCGCTTGCCGCCCAGGAGCCGCGGCTCGGCAGGGCCGTGCAGGGCCCGGCTGCCCCCCGGCGGGTGGAGGGGGGGCGGTGGCTCCGTGGCCGGTGCGGGCGGGTCCCTCCTGCCCCCGCAGTCCCGCTAGTGCCGCCGCTCCTCGGAGGTTCGGGGCTCGGCCGCCTGGCCCGGGCTTCCTGGGGGTAAGCGGGGCTGGGGCGGTGGCAGGGCCGTGTCCCAGTGCCCCGCTCCCCGTGAGACCTCAGGGGTGAGCGGGCGGCTTGGGGGTGAGAGGGTGGCTCTTGGCGGGTGAGAAGGTGTCGTCGAGGGGTGGGAGGGCGACTCAGCCGCTCATCGCCCTCACCGGGGGCTCCAGCACAGGTGTCTGCTGTACGGCTTTTTGCTGTCCTAGAGGGGAGGGTAAAAATAAGTGTCTGGCTCTGGTGTTGGGACCCGCTTCCCTCCAGCCTCGGTGCAGTAGCAACTTCCACCCCCTCCGCAGAGATAAGCGTTGTTCCATCCCAACAAACGCTTCCCTGTGCTCCGGGGGCTCCTCCTCCGCGTGTGTCCCGGGCAGCCCGCAGCTCCCGTCCCCCCGGGCGGCTGTCCCGGCTTGTTTCATCCTTGGCGCTGCTGATGTCAGCTCGGACCGGCTGAGAGCGTCCCGACTCTGCCGGAGCGTCCTTGGATCCAGTGTCACGCCTGGGAACAGGACGCGGTCCGGGGAGTGAATTGGCACACCCTGCACCGGGAGATGTGTTTGCTGTCCCTTGGTGTGATCGGTACATGGGAAGGAAAGCCTCGCTGCGGTGGCGGTGGGGCTGGATCTTCTCTGTGCAAAGGGGAGGGGCAGAGGGGTCTCTGGGATCAAGCCCCTTGGTGTTCAGCCCTGCTCCTAGGACAGTCAGGGACCTGACAGGCAGACTTTGAACTGTTTGCTCTGGACCTTCAAGGAAGCACCACTCTCCAGCTGACTGACTTTCTTCCCTGGCTGTCCCTTAACTCCTCATTGGTGCTCAGATAATCAGGGTTTGTCTTGTTTGAAAGAGCTTAGGGGAAATAAAAGATTTAATCTTTTGTGTGCAGAGGCCAGAAGGAGGGTTCCAGCTGTTTGGTGGTTTTCAGCAATGAATTTTACCAATGTAGTAAATTTACCTTCTCTTCTCGACTCTCTTTTGAAACATTCCACGTTCAGAAGCGTTCCTGCCCTCTGCATCAGCTGAGGGAGAGGATCATTCACCTTGTTTCTGGCTCCTTTTCGGTGGTGTTCTTTGGGGGCTGAAGGATTTGGGGAGGGGGGAGAGCCAAGCCTCTCCAGAGAGTGGGGGAAGCAGTTTGGGAAGGGAGATGTGGCAAAGCCTGGTTCTCCTTTAGTGCGACGTTCAAAAGCTCCACTTCAGTATTTCGTGGGACAACGTTTTCAGCAGGCAGGCTGTGACAGAGTCGTTGGTGCTGTTCAAACCATAAGGAAAATCACCTGCTGCATTTCTGTTTGAGTCACCCAAGTCTTGACTGGTTATTTGTTTCCCAGAGCTGGTGGAGAAACAAGTGGTGTTGGTGGTGGTGAGGCAGAGCGAGGTGGTGTCTCTCAGGGGCTCTGTGCCTGCTGTGAGCACAGGTCTGGCCTCCAGCACTTTGCAGGGTGACAGCAGCGCTCGGGGGCTGCTCCCCTGTGAGGGGCCCTGGCTGCCCCTCCCTGTGAGTTTGGTACAAGTTGGGATAATGTTTTTAGCTCGAGTGTTTCATTGTGCAGCTTAGGAATATAAGTAGGAAGGGAAAATTTTACCCTCTACCCTAATTCTGTCTATTTAGACAGTTGTTCTTGTGCTGTGTCAAGATGAGTTCCTGTGAGGAAAGGCTGAGAGAGCTGGGGGTGTTCAGCTGGAGGAGAGAAGGCTCCAGGCAAACCTTAGAGCCCCTTCCAGTGCCTGAACGGGCTCCAAGAGAGCTGGAGAAGGACTTTGGACAAGGGATGGAGGGACAGGACACAGGGAATAACTTCCCACTGCCAGGGGGCAGAGTTAGATGGGATATTGGGAAGGAATTGTTCCCTGTGAGGGTGGGGAGGCCCTGGCACAGGTTGCCCAGGGAAGCTGTGGCTGCCCCATCCCTGGAAGTGTCCAAGGCCAGGTTGGACGGGGCTTGGAGCAACCTGGGCTAGTGGAAGGTGTCCCTGCCCATGGCAGGGAGTGGGACTGGATAAGCTTTAAGGTCCCTTCCAACCCAAACCCTGTGGGATTCTGTGATGCTACAGAGCTTTTCAGTAACCTCACCCAGACTCATGTTTAGTAAAGAGCTGTTGAAGGTCACTGTTATTGTGGGCACATGCTGGGTGTGTCCGGGGTTGGTTCCTTGGTTCTTCATCCAGGGCAGTTGTTTGTGGCACAGCCTGTTATCTTGTGACTGAGCAGTTCTAACCACGTGCACAGAAGTGGAAGAGAACTCAAATGTTTCAGCTTTATCGTGGTACTGAATGTAGTTTGAGTTTGAGTGCCTTTACCTCTTAATTCCTTTAATAACAGGTGTCTTCAGCAGTGGTGTTTTTTTCCCACATCCCTGGGAGTGTTCCAGGCTGGGTTAGATTGGGCTTGGAGTAACCTGGTCTAGTGGAAGGTGTCCCATGGCAGGGGCTGGAACTGGATAGTCTTTAACCTTCCAACCCAAACCATCCTGTGATTCTGTAGTGGTGTGTACAAAGCTTTGCCTTTTCTGCTGAGGCTTTCTGGGATGTGAAGATGTTCTGCAGATCCTATGGGTGATGTGCCCATGGGGCAGAGATCCAGAGAGCCTCACATCATTCCTAGTGTGTCCAAGACTCCTGGAAAGCAAGGCTGCCTTTCTCAGGGTGAGCTGTGCGGGGCTGACACTCTGCTTTTTAGCTTTAAATCCGTGTGAAGTTGAACTGTTGTGTTTGATGTGCAGCGGCTGCACATCTTTCTCTGCGGGAGCTGCTGCTCCTCTGTGCTGGATGCTCAGAGGTCAGCAATTAAAGCAGACCGAGGGCTTTCTGAAGGTGAAGTTTTGGAGCACTGCCTGAGAAATGTGCTGATCTCACCCGGCTTCTGCAGCTCTGAGAGGAGCAGCTTCAAGCAGGATTTCTGCTTGGGGAATTTCCAGGCTTATTTCTTTTCAGACCCTTTGTCTCTGGCTATGAGAGGCAGAGGAAGGTTCCTATGCACACTGTGACACTTTGTGCCTCTGCCTGAATTGCTTGGGCCCCACTGGCTCTTATTTAGACCATCTGGGCAATAGCACAAGGGATACAGCTTGGAAAAGTGCTGGAGCGTGTGAAGGTGGATGCTTGTACAGGAAACACTGAGTGACCTAAAGCCTTGTGGGGAGTTTACTGCTGCCTTTAGAATGTACTTGATATTAACTGGGAGCAGTCACTTGAATTTGCCTCCCTGCAGAGGGGAAACCTGAACTCCTGTGTTTAGCAGTTGAGCCTTCTCAAGTATTTTCTCCCAAAATACCAGTGTGGCACTAATCTCTGGATGCAGAGCTGGACACACACAGCCAGATGCAGGGCATTCAGCTGAAGGGCTGCAAGCCTGGGACTCTCATCCCAAATGTGCAGTGTCATGGCACATGTGATGCATTCCCTGAACACAGAGGGAAGCATCCAGTTGCAGATCCCGTCTTTGCTAAGGATCTGTCTGGTGCCCTGTGAAATGTGAGGCTGCAGAGGCTGTGACATTTGAGAAGGCAAGGGAATGTTCCTGAGAAGGAGAAAGAGGGATGGTGGGTGACTTGATGGTTTCAGTCATTTCCTTAAAACTATTTGAGGCTCCTAACAGGTGGATACTGAGAAAGCTTGAGAACTGACAGACCACAAAATATTCCTTGGAGCTTTAAGGCCTTCCTGAGAACTTCAGGTCTTATGTTAAGATCGTATCTCTTATCTTTATCAATCTGGAAATCAGTAAATTTTGGGTAGTAGATAGGAAAGAAATCCTTAATTTCCCTGTTAAAGTTTGTTAGAGGAGACTGCAGTAGTTTGCTGGGACATCTCTGTACAAACAGAATTGCTTTGCTTGACTTGCTGAGGAGTCACATTGTGGGATGGAAATGGGAATGTGTGGCCTGTGCTATCCTAAATGTGCCTGAAATAGTCTTAAGGACTAATTCACACAGGGAATGTGCTCCATATCTTTTGGGCTTAAGGCAGAGTCTGATGCAAAGTTTGATTTACAAGCCTGTTACAATCTCTATTGCCAAAGTTCCTGCTTAAAGCGTAGCTGGTCTTAGTGAGGGTGTCTGGTTGTTGCTACTCCAGTGTTTTCTTGGACAATTGGAATTCCAGGTCAGAGAGCCTAGGGGCAGAAGGTTGATGAGATACCTACAGGAGGCCAAAGTGTCTTGTGTAGTAGCAGGTGACTCCTGGGAAGTCAGAGGCGAGGTGTGTGCCATGGAGGGGAGTGGCTTTCCCTTGTCCTGCTTTAAACTCAACTCACATTACTGCAGGTTTTATTGCATATTTGCTGTGAGAGGGATTTTTCAGTCGCTGCTTTAGTAGTTACAGAACAGTCTGGCTTAGCTGTGCTTTAAATTTTAGGTGTGGTTTGTTAAAGAATTGACTCCTGCAAAATCAGTTGGTTCATTTCCAGGGTTCCCAGGCTACTTTAAAGTGCCTGGTTTTTCCTCCCTGTTGCCTGTGCCTTGTGCATGACAGCTTAAGCTGCCCAGATCCAAGGGCAGGCTGAGCTGCTGGGTTGTTCTGTCACGGTCCTGGAAGAGGATGGATATTTAGGCACTGATGGATACCGTGCTCTGAAGGGAGCCAGCAAAAGGGACAAGGTTTGCCTGTCACCAGTGTACGGGTATGTCTGCACAGCTCTGCGTACTTCACACTGTGGGTGACACCTGTAAAGGCTTCTGCTGGGTTTGTTGCCTCTTGAGGAGGGACTGAGCAAGGTTCCGTTCCCATCTTAAGGTGATCTGTGTTTTGTGTGTCCTTCCTTCCAAATTTATGTTCTCTGGAAGAGGATTTTAACCACTTTGCTTGCCGGAAAAGAGAACCTCGACATCATTGCTGATGACACGCAGGATGGTGCCTGTTCCAGAAAATGGTGTAGCTGCCAGCTGAAGTTTTAAATGTTTTCTGCCCCAGGCAGAACCTGGAGCTGGCCTAGGCTGGAAATGCCTCTGCTTTTGTGCCTGTGGAGCAGCCAGGAGCGAGTCAGGGCTGGGCCACCCCTGTGCCTCCCAGAGCTGGTGGATGCAGTGCAGCCCAGAGGCTCTGGGGGTGTGAGTTATGGGGCCACAGCAGCTCCGGTTCTGTAGCTTTGCCTGGTTTTTAAAACACAAGGAAAAGCTATTAAAGGTCTGTCATTTCTCCTTTCTCTTTCTAGCTACTCTTACTTACGACACCCTCAGGTTCGAGTATGAAGACTTTCCTGAGACCAAAGAACCCGTCTGGATCCTCGGCCGGAAATACAGTGTTTTTACAGGTATTTTCAAGGGCAGTGCAACATTCTGACGCTCTGGAGCACTTGTCAGTGTTGCACTTGGGTTTTAACTGCCAGGCTTCTGTCTGGCTGGCCATTTCTGTGGACTCTGGAATGTTTCTGTGCAGAAAGTTACTGTATAGTAGTTACTGGGATGCATCATGAGGGAGGCAGGGGGATACTTAAAGGAAAGAAGATGGCTTACCTCTTCACAATTTGTCTGTGGCTGTAGTGTCTCTGGGTTGATTGCAGCTGGTTTGGGGGGCGAAAAGGAAGGTTTTTTTGCACAACAGCCTGTTCCTCAGCCAGACTCTGCCTCTCTGGGCATACAGACTGTGAGGAGCAGATGCTGCTGTCCTTAGGGAGGGTGAGTGGGAGGTGGGTTTGGCTGTGGTGGTGCCACCCTCACATGTGCCTCTCGATGCTGAACACCTTTCAGAGAAGGAAGAGATCCTGTTGGATGTGACCTCTCGGCTTTGGTTCACCTACAGAAAGAACTTCCCTGCTATTGGTATGTACTGTGGAGGAGTCTAAAGACATCCTGGAAATGATCATAATCTGGTTATCCCTGACGAAACAGTCCCCACGAGCGTGACAACATTTCCATTCATAGGAATCTGAAATGCACTTCATTCAATTGATTGGACAGACTTTTGCTTATCTGAGCACGAGAATTCCTTATCCCCTTGGCTATGAGGGATAGCAGTGGTTTCAAAAAAGGACACAAGGAAGAGTTTGCTCTTTTTTTTTTATGCAACTTGGGAAGATTTTTGTGCTTCACGTTCATCACATCCTACATTAGTCTAGCGTGAAATATTACTGAATAATGGTCTTGGGCCTGAAGTAGATTAAAATTATGAAAGCTAGAGATATGATATGGAAATTGCTGCTTTTGTGCATCTGCTCTAGACTGTGTGGGAGGTTTTGTTTGTGGAGGGGGTTTTAAATGCCTGAAGTGTCTGTTACACACAGGATATGGGTGTAAATGTAGTGATATGGGAAATTTTTCCCAGTGAACTCAAAGGAAGATGTCTTGGTTCCTTAAGGTACTCTGCATGGCCTCTTCTGGGGTTTAATTTTGTGTTCTGGGTGCAAGGTGTATCAGACGAGATCCAAGAGCAGCAAATGGGATTCCAAGCCCCACCCACATCCCCCTTCTGTCACTGCCATCCCCAACAGTCAGTGGGGAAGGAATATGGCTCAGGTTTGGAGAAGAGACTTCTTGGTAACTGGTTCTTCTGGCTTGTGCAGTTCTTCTCCTGCTGGGAAACCCTCTGCCTCACAAGCCCTGAGACATCTTTGATGCAGTTTAATTCCTTTAAATTCATGTTTGTGCACCACAGCTAAACACGTGTTTGAGACTGAAGGGTTAGCACATGTTGCACTGGCTTGCAGGCACAATTGGGGTTTTGTGAGTCATTAAGGCTGTGGGGCAAAGGCAGGCACCATTTTCTGAGTCATTTCCCATTTACAGAATAAATATTATTTGCATATATACAGTAAATCTTTTTTAGTGTTTTTCTTCTCCCAGTCATCCCTGTTGCTGTTTGTCACTTCCCTCTGTGCTTGCCCATTTAATATTGTAAGGGTTAGGGGACTGTAATGCTAATTTTGTAAAGCATTATCATTCTTGGAAGTTGCATAATTACTGGTGAAATCATAGAAGACAGCTGCTGAACATCCAGATGTTGATTAAATAGTTCTCTGGGTGATTTTTCTCCCTGTGCAGAGTAGTTAAGACTAAAAGACAGAAGCAGCATTACAAAGACTTCTGGCAGCTGTGCCCAGGCACAGCTGGCTGTGTGCTTGTGAGACAGCTCACCTGCTTTGGTCACACTGAATGTTTATCTCTATTTTTTGTAGTAATAGCCAGAGCTGCAGTGGAGGGGCAGCAGTTTCCTTTGGAAGGTCTGTCAGGGAAATGCTTCCAGCCTTGAGGCCTTTGTCTCAGACTTTCCAGTGTGAGCTCATACCCAGCTTATTCTCCAACATGATGTAGGATGTGTCTTTTTTTCATTGCTGGGGTGGTTTTATCTTTTTTTGGCTGTTGCCTTTTTTTTTTGGCCTAACTACACTGTTCACTTTGGAATCTTAGCCTGTCATTGCTGCTTCTTCTGTAGGAGTTCCTTGGGACTGATTTGGTTTGCATGTTGAGCTGCCTTCTCAAGATGAGGATTGCACGAGGCACCTCTGTGTAGAACTGTCTCTGAATTGATCTGGGAGTCTGCGGCCAGGCTCAGGGGCCACTGTGCTCCTGAGAAATTCAGCTCTCTTTTGGGTTGCTTGGATTTCCCTTGGAAGTTTTTTCCCCTTTCAGTTAGCATTAGGGGGGTTTGTTTATTTGCTTTTAAGGGATGCCATTAAGTCACTCATTGGACACCACAGTTTTGGTTTTCAGCCTTGGGTGTGTGAGCTCAGCTAGTCCTTATTCCCTGCCTCGTGTCTCTGTGATCCTGCTGCCCACACAGACTCACTGTGCCTGCATTTCTCTCCCTCTTGGCACTTTTTTCCCCTTCACTCCGTGTTTATTCTCTGTCCTCGTTTGCAGGAGGCACCGGTCCCACATCGGACACCGGCTGGGGCTGCATGCTGCGCTGTGGCCAGATGATCTTTGCTCAGGCCTTGGTCTGCAGGCATCTGGGAAGAGGTAAACCAGCCCACACTGACTTCCAGGGCCGTGTGCTCTCACAAGTGCAGCCTTTTGAAGGACAGAGATGACAAGGACACAGTAGGGAACTGGTTGCTGTGAGGGCTCTGTAACTTTCTCCTCAGTCTTCTCAAGTTTAGGGCTGTTGGGAGAGCAGTCTACTGGTTCAGCAGGTTTTCCCCTGTTTTTTCCAACTCTCTAGAGATGTTCGTATTTTCTGGGGTTTTGTTGCTTACTTCTTTTTCTGTGGGTGATGCTCCTTTATCCCAGCTGTGAGAATGCTTTCTGTTCTTTTAAAATTAGTCTTTTACTGTTGGGAATGCCTCAGATGCCTAAGAGTAAGATGACAATATGAAAATCAGGTCAGTTGGTTGATGCACAGGAGGAGAACTGTCGCTTGCAGCCTCTAGTTGCTAACAAATACCATGCTTTGTTTCATATATCCCATTTTCTGTCTTAGACTGGAGGTGGATAAAAGGGAAGAGGCAGACGGATAATTACTTCAACGTCCTTAATGCCTTCATTGACAAAAAAGACAGCTACTACTCCATTCACCAGATAGGTAAGGGGAAAGAAATGTTCAGAAGTAGCAAGAGTAAGGAAGGATCTCACCTCGGTACAAACTTCCCTGAAAAATAAAAGAGAAACAGCCTGTTCCAGTGTTTCCTGTGGGGTGTTAAGGTACCCACAGCTTCAGCGAACAGAACTCAGGTTACAGGGGTGGTGTGGTGATGAAATACTCTGTGTAAAGCTTCTTCTGAGGCAACACTGCCCTTTGAACTTCTGTGCTGCTGCATTTTGGGGAAAGGATTTGCTTTAGAGTCCTTCAGGATGTGCTTCTCACCTCCACCTACAAGAAGATACCTCATGATAGGGTAGATTCTGCTGATTCAAGGTTTCCATGTGAGAATTCTTCCCTATTTAATGTAAGCCTGCTGAGGAAGGAATGCAGTGTGGGTGAAATTACTTACTAATTTTTTTCTTTCCTTGTGCTGCAGCCCAGATGGGAGTTGGAGAGGGAAAATCCATAGGCCAGTGGTACGGACCAAACACAGTCGCACAGGTGCTCAAGTAAGGGCTTTTTTTTATCTTCTGCCTGTTGAACCAGGCAGTGTGGGGTCATTTGGGGTGTGGTACCTGAGCTTACAGGGTTCTGCCCACTGTGGGAGCATGGGCAGCCTGGACTAACACCCTCCCTCCTCTCACTGTTCTCCCCTCACGCTGGCACAAGAGCAGGTAGTTCCTTGGAATAGGCTGGGATTGCCTGAACGCAGCTTTCCCAGGTCAGACCACAGGCTGACTTAGCCCAGGCTCTGGTACAGGTGGTCAGGAGATAATGTATGGGAAGTCAAAGGGCTTTTATTTCACTTAACATTACTTCTAATGCTGTCTGACCTTCTGGCAACCAGCACTTAAGGAATTCCACTTGGAGATTGTATCAGGGCTCGTGTACTTAGTAGCTGCTGAGGGACAGATTCCCAGGTGGGATCCCATTTGCAACCTTGTTTATTCTTTATTCTTCAGGCAATAATGAAGTCTACAACCCTGCCTGTATCAAAGCACACTTCATGGCATACTTGATTACACCAGTCTCTCCTAATCAACTTTCTCCTCTCTGCTACACCACCCTCTGTCTCTCATAGTTGTACTAATCCTTCCTTACGTATTTGCTTTTAATTTTCCCGTAGAAAACTTGCAACTTTTGATACGTGGAGTTCCCTGGCAGTACATATAGCCATGGACAACACAGTAGTGATGGAAGAAATCCGTAAGTACCACAGACAGGTAGAATGTGGTGCAATATATTCTCTGGCAGCAACAAGCAAGAAAAAGGCCGGAGAGCACAACAGATATGAAATACACATTCTGTCTTAAATTCTTCCCTGTGAGGGTGGGGAGGCCCTGGCACAGGTTGCCCAGAGAAGCTGTGGCTGCCCCATCCCTGGAAGTGTCCAAGGCCAGGTTGGATGGGGCTTGGAGCAACCTGGGCTAGTGGAAGGTGTCCTTGCCCATGGCAGAGGGTGGCACTGGATGAGCCTTAAGGCTCCTTCCTACACTCACCATTCTGTGGTGTGTGAAAGCTATGGCCAAGCATTCTGAAACCAGGTGAGAACTGCTGTTCTAGGGCAAGGAAGGCCTTTGTTTGAGTTTTGCTTCATCTGGTAAAGCCTCTGGCTTGGCATAGTGGCCTCTGGATCTGGAGAGAAGGTTTGCTGACCTTCAGACAGTAAGTAGGAGCTGCTTGGATGGCAATGTCAGACTTGTTTATGGCCACAAATAGCAAGCAGTAAATGGCTGCTTCCTGTATCATATAATGGGTAGGATGTCTCTGCTACTAGTCAGGGTAAGAAAGCTAGAACAGATCACTGAAGGGGAAAGTGAACAAAACTGGCAGGGGGCATAAGAAGGGAATAAGAAGGGAATCCATCTCTACAGTGAATCTCATCATTTTAAGGAGTGTTCACTTGTGGTTTCCCCCCCTTTTTTTTTTTGTTTTGGTGCATCTTGCTCCACTCTGGAGCCTGAGCAGGTGTTGGTGCCCATCCTGAGCCTGCCTGCTCAGGCTGCAGCCCTGCAGTAACGAAAGCTGAGTGCCTGCATTGCTGGTTGCTGCAGCCCTGCACAGCCGTGGCCTCACCAGCCCTTCCCCTGACTTGCTTTAGGCCAACTCCCGAGGCAGGGAGCTCACCCAGCACAAACCTTGCAGTGTTTCTGCCAGGGCAGTGCTCTGGAACAGCAGGTACAACACTCTGGTGAGTGCTGGAGCTGGGGCAAGGTTACAGGTGAGGTTGTGGCAAGTATCATTTAGGCTGCTTGGCTGCCACGGAGCCAGAGTCAGCTACCAGGCAGTTTATCCCTGGAGTGCAGGACAATCACGTTACAAAGCTCCATCTCTTGGCAGGTAGCTCAGTTAGATCTGACTGAGAAGTGCCTGTCTTGACCTTAGCTGAAGGTACATGCTGATGCCCTTGGCTTAAACAAGGGCCAATTTAAAAACAGAAATTGGATTTATCTTTCATCTTTAGCCTGAAAACATCGCTTCCAGAGCTGAATCATGCTGGCTGCGAGGCTTTGGGTGTGCTGCAGGCTCTGTCTGTGTGGCACTGGCTGTTCTGCACTGATGCTGCTTCAAGTGGCGTGTCCGTACAGCTTGTCATGGGCAGGGCCTGTGTGTCTGTTTTCCTCAAATGTGGATCATAATGTACCTGCACAGGGCCTGAAAGTCACTGTGTGAGTGGGTCTGATGTGTTACATGTCCGTAGGTTTGTGTTAGATACCTTGTGCCCCAAACACTGACGATAGAAATCACGTTGTTTCATACATCCATTAATTTGGTCACTGACACGGTTAAGCCAAAGGTTCACAGGAAATGCCTTTTGCTACAGCATTGAAGAAACATCCACCTTTATCCCTTCTGAGTCAGTGTTCCATCAGAAGGGGGCTCTCAGTTGAGCATTGGAGGATCCTGTGCATCAGAAACGTGATGAGAATCCAAGGCAGTACCTGACAGCAGCAGCCACAGCAGGAGAGGTGTCGTGTCAGATCTGCTGGAATATGTTTGCAGTAAATGCTTTGGATCCAGCTGGGAAGCGTTAGGCAGGTTCTGCTACGCTGTGCCACCACAGTGCTGCAGAGCCTGCCAGAGACCAAGGTGAATTTAGTCTGTGCCAAGCTCTCTGCTGCTTAAACTGCAGTTAAATGTGTTCACAGCACAGGATTGCCAGGTGCTTTGCCTGATGAGGAAACCTGCAGTGACACCCCATGCAGCAACAGGCCTGGATTGGCAGGTGATTTCAGATCATCAGGACAGGCTACTGCAACAAAAGTAATAAAAAACTGTTTTAATAGCAGAAATCACTACAAATAATGACTTAGTTTCCTCAGGACCTCTGGTGGTTATGTCTGTGTATGAGATGCACACGTACACCTTCTCCCTTCTTGAGGGACAATATAGGGAGAAAGTGCAGACTTCCATGCAGGTTGTCTTTCCTCCTGGGGCTTTAGATCAAAGTCGTATTTATTCTAAATTTGGGTGTAACATTGCCCTTGTTCAGCTGGATTTGAAGCTCTCAGTAGTGAACAAACACCAAGGTGAAATGGCTGGTGATTAAGGTGTTTGTTTACATTGTGTCCTACCTGCTACAGTGTCCTGGCATTCAATTTAGGCCAGGAATAAATTAAATGAGCCTCTGGCATTTTGTCTAATTGCCTGGGCTTCATGATTAAAGTGCTGTGGGTTTCTTTGGGGTTTAGGTGGTTTTTTTTCACACACCCAGCAAGTAATGAAATTGGCCAGTGAGACAGGTAAGCTTGGAGTTGTTTCTGGACCACAATTTACATAACCTGAGTGCATCGCAGCCTGACTGTGTGTTTGTCAAGCCTGTAGAATGAGGATGCAGAGTGCTTATGTCATGTCTATGCCCCAAGGAGTTCTGCTGCCCCATATCTTAGAGGGAAAGCTCATGCTGAAATTGCAGAGTTCAATGACAATCCTGCTTTAGGTCTGTAAAGAAGCCGCTGAATGATCCCCAACAAAATCTGTGAAGGTTAAAACCTTCAGGAAACTTTAGTGAACTTAGGAAAATGGTAACTACCTCAGACAGATGCCATGTTTGTATCTTGCTACAGAATTTAGTTACAGGTGAACATTTCCTGTGTTGAGCCGTAACACTGTCCTCGCTGGGTTCATTCATGTCCTCTGTGAACACTCCAGACTTTTTCTGCCTACAAGCTTTGTGAATTCAGGACTGTTGCCTGACAACCTAATCAGCTCATCCAACCTTGTTGGCACAGGTGCTTGCTCACCCTGTGGAAGAACTGGCATTTTTGCTGCCTAGCAGATGGTAGCTGTGAGTACAACGTGCTCTGGCATAAACCTTGTGTGAGCTTGGCTGAAAGGCTGAGCCCTTCAGCAGCCCTGCAGGGAGTCCACACATCACACAGTCCCAGCACTAGGCCTCTTCAAACTTTTCTCCTTGTTTTTAAGTGCTGTAGGCTTTTAGAAAATAGCAGTTGTTGATCAGAGCTTGACTAGAATGACTCAAGGTCTGGAAACGGAGATGATTCCTGATGCTCTCTGCTCCTGTTCCCTTTCCATAGGGCGGCTGTGCCAGTCCAACTTGCCGTGTGCTGGAGCTGCAGCATGTCCTGCCCTGGAGTCAGACGTGCTCTATAACGGGTACCCAGAGGAACCAGGGCTTAGAGACAGGCTTGTGCTGTGGAAACCACTGGTGCTGCTGATACCTCTCCGCCTCGGGCTCACAGAGATCAATGAAGCCTATATTGAAACACTAAAGGTAGGGGATCTGGAGCTGAATTCCTGGTGGGGTGATGCTTAAGGATCCTGTTGTGAATTAAGTAATTACTCAGAAGTAATTGTCCTATTTGCAGAAGAAAAATGTGTTGAGAGACAACCCATGTCAGAGGTCAGGATACAGGTTCTTGCAGGCTCTAGTCAAGAAACTGGGGTGGGGCTTGGGGAGTTGTGCCTTTCTTAGGTTGCTTTTTTTTTCCTTTTGAGGACTTTACTTCACAGCTTGGTCTCGGTGTTTAGATAGCACCACCCTGCTGAAGCATTTGTTCAGCACAACTATACCCTGCTTGGTGGTAACCTGAGTGTTGGTTAATGCAGTATTGGACACTCCCTGTGGCTCTGAGGCTGGAGCTGGTGCTGCAGACTGAGGCCAGGAGCTGGCAGGCAATCGCAGGTTGGAGTGTTGAGAAGCTGCAGAATTTAGGGTGTGCACAAGACAAGGGTGCACATTGTCTTGCTGTGCTAGTGGTGGCAGGCTCTGAGCTGTATGGTAAGACAGCTCCAGATTCCCGTGAGGTTAGTTTCCTTATCTCAGTAGATCGTGCTTGGATGCTGCAGGTGGATAAGGAACTTAAACTGTTTCCTGAATGATCATTCCCTCACGAGAGCAGTGTTGCAACCTGATGACAGCTCCAGGGATCTTGCCACTGACGGCAGCAGAGCCAGGACTCACCCATACTGAGTCCTGGAGTAGTGCAGCTTCTTCCATTTGGTCCACCTGTGTGTTCCTGTCAGCAGTTAGAAGTGGTTTTGAGCTGCTTCCATGGTCCTAGAAGGCCCTGTGTTGTAGCCTTTTACCTTCCCGATGGAGCTTCTCTCCCAGAAATAGCTGGTTTTGCTGCCAGAGTTGCAGATTCTCCGTGTCCCTGTCCGTCTTTCCCACTGCATTTTTGGATGTTTGCCTTTGTTCCCACCTGCTGTCTCACTGTCTGTCAGCTGTGTGTTTTCTGTGTTGCTTTTCCAGCACTGCTTCATGATGCCCCAGTCCCTGGGAGTGATCGGAGGGAAGCCAAACAGTGCTCACTACTTCATTGGCTATGTAGGTGAGTGCCCAGAGGACTGCAAAGGCTGTCCAAGCATCTCCCCCTGCTGCTTGTGGGGTGCACAGCTCTCCTGCTTGGCCTGTGGGGCATGCTGCAGGGTTTTCCTTCCCTGCTGGAAGCATGGAAGGCTGTTGTGGGCTGAACCTCTCACCTGAGTCATGTAGATTCGAACAGTGGCCATGAACTGCCACTCTGTAACACCAAATCCTGTCTGTAAGAGGAGTGCATAGAACCTGCTTCCTGAGTTCAGAACTGACCTCCCTCTGGGGCCTGACTGGATACAGCTGTCCTTTAGGTGACCCTTCCTCAAACCCTACAAACTGTCATTACTCTCCTCCTTCCCTCTGGTTTTCTCTCTGCCTGAGACCTGAGGTTACTTGTGCTTTAGCTTTCTGGGGTCTACTTGAGCTTACCCAGGACCCGGGAAGGGATGAGCAGTACCCAAACAGTGCCTGTACCTCGATCCCAGGGGTTTGCTGTGGAGTGGCCACCGTGGTTCTGGCAGCTGGCTCTGTGCCTGGCTGAGAAGCATTTGGGGAAGTGGCTGGAAGCAAGATGTCCCCAGAATGTGGCTTCCTCTGTTTGGTTACGAGCTCCTCTTTGCATCTCACTGCTTCTCAGAGACCACGCTTCTGGCATGGTTCTTTCTGTTGATGTGTCCTTGCCTCTCTGTCCAGGTGAGGAGCTCATTTACCTGGATCCCCACACCACGCAGCCAGCGGTGGAGCCCGGTGACGGCAGCTGCCTCCCCGACGAGAGCTTCCACTGCCAGCACCCTCCGTGCAGGATGAGCATCGCCGAGCTCGACCCCTCCATCGCCGTGGTGTGTCCCTGTTCCCCATCCCCCAGGGAGCAGTGTTGGGGTCCTTCTGTTCCACAGCTCCCTCCTTCCCTAGGGAACTGGCAGAGGCAGTGGTGATGGACTGGGCACTCTGCAGTGCTGTGCTCTGGTCAGGTGCTGCCCTGGGTTTCGGTGACAGCGGTAAAGCAGTTCCTTGTGCAGGAAGCTGCCCCAGGGAGGTCCCCCTTGCTTGGCAATTAAATGCCATTCCTCCTGGGGCTGTGTCCTTCTCTCAGGTTTAGTTTGGGCTTTGATTCCTGTCTTGATTGGCAGATCTGCAGCCATCCCTGAATCCATATGAGGATGCACCATGGCTTGTTTTCTGTTGAGCCTGAGATGCCTGCCCTTTTGTTTCCATGGGGGTTGTTCCTTCTAGTTTTCCTTTTGCAGTAGAGCAGGTGTTGATGATTCCAGCACTTGGATGGCCTGGTCACATCCAGCCTTTGGGGAGTGTTCACTAAACACAGGGTAGTGTCATGCAGGGTTTTAGAGCAAGGCAGTTGGGTGTAGATAACTGCTCACAGTCCTGATCACGTTACTTGGCATTAATACAGGGCCTTAAGTCTGAAATGATCAATCTAAAATACAGAAGGGTAAAATCTTTTTCCCTTTTTTTCAGGGCTTTTTCTGCAATACAGAGGCAGACTTTAATGACTGGTGCCAGCAAATCAAAAAGGTTTGTGTTTATAGATCTGGTCAGACATTGGAACAGGCTTCCCAGGGAAGGGGTGGAGTCACCATTCCTGGAACTGTTCAAAGGCATATGGATGTGGCACTTGACATGGTTTAGTGGTGGTGTTGACAGTGCTGAGTTAACAGTTGGACTCGATCTTGGAGGTCTTTTCCCACCTTAATGAGTCTGATTCTACTCATACTGAAAGGAATATCAGGTATTTTCTTGTTTCCAAAGCACTGCACAGAAATCATATTCTCAGCAGCACGATCCCATTTTAAAGCATATTAAAATAGTTTATTAAACTAACAAAGGGAGCATAGCACTGAAATTCTGTTGATGACATGAGTCAAAGATGTGAAAAACATTTTTTCAGCTGCAGTGAAGTCCCAACAGATCATTATTACCCCCTAAAAGAGCACCAGGAGTGCAGAGCTGTTGGTTCTCATGGCTCTGCTCTGTCTCCACAGCTGGCCCTGGTCAGAGGAGCGCTGCCCATGTTCGAGCTGGTGGAACGCCAGCCCTCACACTTCTCCAACCCCGACGTCCTGAATCTCACACCAGGTGAGGCCATGCAGGGAGGGAGGGACAGCCTGGGGTGAGCTGGTCCCTTTGGTTTTCTGGAAATTTTGTGAGGTTGCACAGTGGTTTCTGATATGTTCCTGAATCAATTGATCTGGTTTTTTTGGCTTTCAACTAGTGGTTTGTGGATCCCATGGTGCCTCACAGTGATTTTTAGAATGATTCTGTGAATGGTGATAGTGACTGAGGAGAAGAAAAAACAAGCTCACAGCCTGTCACAGCAATATGAATCTATGATTTCTTAAGGGATGCTTGGAGAAATCAAAAGGGTCTGTTAAAAAGGCTGAAAGCTGAGTAGTTATGTAATGAAAATGGTCCGAGACAGGGCTGGTCACACTTAGTTCCAGCATAAGGCACTCCTTCCTGGCATGTACCACTGCCACTGTGAGAAGGAACAACTGCTGGCCACTAATCTTGACTCTCAGGCTCTGCTTATCTTGTTCATAACATGCACAAACATTGCAGAAGATAGAGAGCCATTGGCAGCTTCTGCCAAGAGCAGTGAGTGTGTGTGGGCAAACCCACCCTATCACCAGGTACCAGGCTGCCCACTGGGACTGCACCCTGTGCTTCCTCACTGTCTCTGTCTGCAGCATGAACTTTCAAAGCCTTCCTTATTACACCGTCCTTTGCTGTGAGTGCTCGATTCCCTTAAACTGCCAATTGATCTTTGCCTATCCTAAATTGTACCCAGTTGTTGCCTTTCCTACTCTTAAAAATGTTTTTGTAGCAGACTACTTGTCCTGCTTCCTCTTCCCTGACTTGTGCAGACTTTCCTATCTGCCATGGCCATTGTTTTGCTTAGTCCTGTCCATCACTAGGAGGAGTAGTTGAAGTTGGAGCCCATTCCAGTGCCTAAAGGGGCTCCAAAAGAGCTGGAGAGGGCATGCACTGACAGGACAAGGGAATGGCTTCAGACTGCCAGAGGGCAGGGTTAGATGGGACGTTGGGAAGAAATTCTTCCCTGTGAGATGCTGACACCCTGGCACAGGTTGCCCAGAGAAGCTGTGGCTGCTCCATCCCTGCAAGTGTCCAAGGCCAGGTTGGATGGGGCTTGGAGCAACCTGGGAAAGTGGAAGGTGTCCCTGCCCATGGCAGGGGGTTGAAATGAGATGAGCTTTAAAGTCCCTTCCAACCCAAACCATTCTGAGATTCTGTGACTGTCCAGACTGAGTTAATGTAGGTTTCTCCTTTACTTCCTCAGTTTGCCCACTGATCTCACCTGAATTTCCCCTGTGCTAAAGTTGCTTCACCTTTAGGTGAGCTCCTTCCTCACCATATGTTGGAAGGATGGACAGGAGGGATCAACTACACTACCTTTCCTCACAAAACGGACTGTACAATTGCTTTTGCGAGAGTGCATGTTGTGTAATCACATTCCCTAACAGTTATACCAAAGGTAACTACAGCAGAAACAATTCTGGTGGGAATGTATCCCTTAATTGGGCCAGAAATCTTCATGGACATTAGTCCAAACCTGGGCAAGTTCTCTTTGAGCCTCTTGAGGCAAAACAGTCTCCTGCTAATGCAGAGTTGGGGCACAGAAAGGTTGTATTGAACAGTCACAGCAGAGTTGTTTTATGGGATCTGTGAAAGGTGACACACTTCTGTGCTCCATATAATTCTCCCCAGTGCATTTTCCATGCCATTAACATGTTCTCATCCTTCCTCAGAGCCTTCACTCAGTTATGTCACTGAGTCTTGGAACTTGTGGGCACTTGACACTCAAACTGTGATGCCATCCAGCTGCTGGTCTCACTGACAGTCAGGGTGTCCCACGGAGCTAGTGCTTTCTTCTTTTCTTCCAGACTCCTCCGATGCCGACAGATTGGAAAGGTTCTTTGACTCGGAAGATGAAGACTTTGAAATCCTGTCCCTTTGAAAACAAATAGGAAACTGACTCTGCAAATTTGTGTATGTGTGGGGAGAAGGGGGGAGGGAAGCTCCTTCGAGAGCCTGGGGCTACCGGTTTTCATAGGCGCTTGCTGCCATCCCCGCCTCTTGTCCATCCCGGCATTCCGTGCAGCCTCGGAGCGGAGCGCGCAGTGTCTGCGGTGGGATGAAGAACCAAGTGGGTGTTACAGCCTTACTGGCTGCAGTCAGAATTTCTCAACAGCAAACAGTTGCTGGAAGTGGATGCAGTGGTGCTTAGGAGTTCAAAGCCTATCTGTTACATCAGCAGGTCAGCTGGGCCTTCCGGGGGAGGCACGGGAATCATTAGAGCACCGGATCCTTCTGTGGGGACTCCCTGCTGAAGCTTAAGTAGAGCCCACCCATCACTTTGCAGGAGAAATGTCCAGTTAATGCCTTTAGCAGCTTCTGTTCTCACTGGCCAACCTGGACTGCAGCTCAGAATGCCAAGGAACAGCAGCCACGTCCCACAGACAGCGGTGAAGCCTCCGGAGTGCAGATCCCTACGGTACAACTCCTGTTCATGCTCTGCAGTACACAGCGCTTCCTGTCCTGCTCACACCCTAAGGAAAGGGCATTGAGGGAACTTCCAGTGACTGGGAATTCAGTGAGCGAACGGCTGCCTGGGGAAGCATGGAACAGAGCTGTGCTGCTGGGCAGGAGCTTCTCAATCCCAGTCTAAGTAAAGCAGAAAGAATGGAAGAACAGAAAATGTGCGTGTTGCTCAGTGAGACAGTCCATATGCTTCTACAATGAAATAATCTCTGCAGCAAGTACCTTCAGGAAACCTGCTTTGAGCAGAGAACTGGATTCCATAAGCTTGGAAAAGAAAAAAAAGAAGAGTCCCAGCTGGGAGAGGTGAAACAGGACAGCAGAGATCTGCCAGGCTCCTGCCTGTGCCCCAGTGTGCTGGCACAGCATCTGTGGAGTTAATCTTGTCAAACCAAAAATGTGAGGCGTGAAACTCCTCAAGATGCCCTCGGTGCACTGATCAGCAGTTCCTCCGGCTACTCATGTCAGACATTCCGTTTCCAAAGCAGAAGAGGCGCCTGAAGGTCAAGTAGGATTCCAAGCTGTTGGTACCTTGACTCTGCTTGTCCCTCTCCCTGCGGAGTGTGCACAGAGTACTGCAGGAGCCAGCCTGGAGAAACCCCTGTCAGGTAATCATCCCAAAAGGGCAGAATGCCTTGAGAAGGTCCAATTATACTGGCAGTTTTAGCTGCTTTAAGGTGGTAGCTCTGCCTGGGGCTCTTCTCCACACAGAGAAAGCTGGAGCAGAGCTGTCTCCTTGCAAACTGCAAGGGAAGTTGCTGCCATCGTTCCTTGGTGCACGCTGCACTCTGCAACCCCATTCACAAGCCTCTGGTTTGTGCATTCGGGTTTGGAACCTGTCAGATGACGGTGTTGTGCCCAAGGGTAGTACCACCTGGATAGAAATGACCCGTTTCCCCTGTGACTGACCTACTGATGCTCTGTCCCTGTGCTATCCGAAAGCAGAGGTTTGAACTGGGAACCACAATGCTTCTGTCACTAAATTATTATTTGCTGCTTTCTGCCTGCTTCTCCTCTTCTCTCATGTAGTCAGGGGAAGAGGCAGCAGAGGAAGTGGGGCTGTGCTCCATTCATCTGCTTTCAATTTCTATCTGAATAAACAGATCTAAAATCTTTGCCTGTCCTAACGTCCTTGCACGAGTTGGGGGAGGTGGTGAGTGGCATTCCAGCAACCCTGCACTGTGGTAGGGAATGCTGTAACCAGTTTCAGTAACCATTATTGCTGTTATGCGTTTCAACAGCAGGACACAGAGCTTTAACTGGAAGGCTGTACACTCTGTTGGCATGGGCTGGTCCTTTTCATTGAGAGCTCATCACTCAGGACACATCTCCCTCTTGATCTCTTCACCAGAAGAGTCAGTACCTAAAGAGGCTCCAAGAGAGATGGAGAGGGACTTTGGACAAGGGCCTGGAATAAGAGGACAAGGGGGAATGGCTTCCCACTGCCAGAGGGGTAGTTAGGATATTGGGATGAAATTCTTCCCTGTGAGGGTGCTGACACACTGGCACAGGTTGCGCAGAGAAGCTGTGACTGCCCCATCCCTGCAAGTGTCCAAGGCCAGGTTGGACAGGGCTTGGAGCAACCTGGGCTAGTGGAAGGTGTTCCTGCCCATAGAACAAGATGATCTTTAGGGTCCCTTCCAACCCAAACCATTCTGTGATTCTACTGCTTATTTCATGTTCATGATTTCATGGTTAAGGACAGCTCAGCCAGACAGGTTTTACCTGAGTGTTAACACAATTCCAATAACAGAACTAAGCTCAGCTGTCTAAGACCTTTAACAGGTATTTCTGGCTTTTCAGTCAGGCCCATAAAGCTAATAATTAAATGCCTTCCCTGTGTGTTGTCTTGGGTCAGTGGTGCTGTCAGGGCCCGATTCAGCATTACAGCACTCACCTCCTTCACCAGGAGTGTTTGGCTGCCAAGTGCTGGGAAGCAGAGGAGGGAAAGGAGCAGCTTTTTCCATTTCAGCTGATGTCTGTAGCAGAAATTTTGCTTTAAACACTTTCCTTTCCTTTCCCTGCGAGGGAATCAGTTCAGTCTGCCTCTCTCTAAGAGTTAGAGCAGAAGACTAGTGCAATCCACCCTGTTGCAAGGTTAACTGTCCAGCAGAGACATGAACTCTCCTGGGCATCCACATCTCTCAGTGCCCCTTGCAAATGATTTTACCTTCCAGTTTGTTGTGGTTTGCTGGTTGTTACTGCTGGCTTAGGTGATTCATAGCTGGTCTGGTTTGGCAACCCTTGTGAGCTGTTTAAAAATTGCACTGGGGGGTGTGTAGGAACCACAGATGGATTCCCCTCATCTTAGCCAGTCTAAAATCGCGTATGTGCTACTCACCCTCCAAACTGGCCTTGCTGTGAGCTAATCCCTCTATTTCAGGCTCTTAACCTGCTCACAGCAGTTTTCTGTCCCATTCTCAGTGCACATCCAGGAAGGAGGCCTGAATTCACCTCTCCCTTCATTCCACAGCTCCAGCAAACAGCTTTCCTTGGATTTAGTGCCTGACCTGCAGCACTTTCACCTCCCACACATCCTTCTAGAAGATAAACAATAATAGTGGGGAAAAAAAAAAGCCCTGTGCCAAATGTTTAAAAATAATGATTTATTAACAAGTCCTCTACAAACTGGTTTGAGAATGGGGGATGCATTTACTACAGAGGCAGAATTATCAGAAACATGGCAGTTCCCTGGAACTGGGCACTGTCCCTGGCCAGGGGTGGCCCTGGGCTCCACACCCACATCTGCACCCCAGGACTGAAGCTGCAACAAGAGCTCCTGTTTGGGATAGGGAGGTTTATACTAAGAATTTCATTCATGCTTATGGCATATGCATTTAAAAAATGTGGAAGGGACTATGGAGGGGGAGGAGCAGGTGAAATAACAAGGACATCAGCATCATGTTGGACCCAGAATACTCAGGATCTGAGCTGTAGCTACTGGACAGTGATATGTAAGGGAGTCATCCATGAGGTGAGCTTTCCCCTATTGCTTTAGACCTGACCTGTATCAAGTTTTATTTCCAGAGTTCTCCCAAAGGTTTATTCTGAACCTCCTCCATGGTTTTCTCTGCAATGGACTTGATTTCTCTGTGCAAGTCTTCTATGCTCTGTGAAGCATCCACTGTCTGTTTCCAAAAAAAAAACAAAACCACAAGATAGATAGAGAAAATACAGAAACACGTTACTGGAAACCAGCAAATGAGAAAACCTTTGCTGTTAATATCTGCTCCCCCTCATTACTCAATACTGTTACTGTTCCTGAGAGGTGAAATGAGCTAATTACACCTCCTGTGCACTGTTTCTGGAGTGGAACTGGGAAAAACCTATTTAGGAATAGACATTTAAGTACATGTAGGGCTGAATGAAGGGAAACAGAAGAAACTGTTGTTGCATGTTGTTTGCTGACACTCTTTGGGGTGTGTTAGATACAGAGAGGCAGGGAAGCTGGGATTCATCCCAGGTGCTCCAAGAGCTGACCAGGGTGTCCTGCAACAGGGAAGTGTCCTCTGCCACAGCCCACAGTGCCCTTGGTTGGTCCCCAACGTGTCCCCCTGACCAGGAGCAGGAAGGGGGAGCACAGGGATATGATGGGCACAATTTGGGAGCTCTCATGAGAGACCCCCACCCCAGTCCATGACCAGCCCATTGGGGTTATTTCCTCACCTTCCAGTTTAGGGTCTTGTCTTCCATCAGACAATAGAAGGACTGCAGAACTTTCTCTTGGAAGGAGCTGGACTCGTAACGTTCATGTCCATAGTTCCCTCGTTCTGCTGCTTCTTCTGGGCTTAACTGAAGAAACAGGATCAGGTCTGGCTTTGGGAGTCCCACGTCAGGCTGTTTGCACCAGTCCAGGCAGAAGTTCTGTCCCAAGCAAAGACAACCAAGTTTGAGGTGAAAGAAACACAAAAAGTGACAATATCCCAGCTTACCATGTGGGAATTCAATCCTGGTAATTTGGGAGGGGGGAGCAGGTTTAGCTGTGCAGCCCTTGTGCTCACTTAAGTTGGACAGAGCTAAAGCTTTTAATGCCCTGAAAGCAGGGACAGGCCAAAAGGTACAAGTGAGACCAGAGAAAAAAGAGGAACCCCTCATCTCCCCCGTTTCCTAGGAGACTAAGTTCTGAGCAATTAACCAGAGAGCCAGTTCTTTTGTGCCTCTTAAGTGCTCACTTAAGATACCTGCACGCAGTGGGCAGAGGGAAGGGAAAAAATTCCTGCCTGGTTTCCAAGAACCAGCTAAACCATGACATTATCCACCCCTACAAGTGGGACTGTGAGAACTTCAGGCTAAATGAAGAAAGTCAGTTTTACTCTGAAAGTGAGCAAAGAAGAACCCAGAAAGGAGTGGATCTACATCCCTGGAGAGACTCAAACCTTGGCTGGATGTGGGCCCAAGTAAGCCCTGCTGGAGGTTGGGCTTCATGACTTCCACATGTGCTTTCCAATGTATGTGGTTCTGTTATTCCTTGCAAATTTATGGGCCAGCAGCCAGACCAAGCACGAAGAGTCTTAAATAAACTCCCAGAATCACTCTCCAGAGTCAAACAGGTCAGCTTCCAGTACTCTGTCCAGGTTTACAGAAAGTGAGTTTCTTTGTTCTGGGGAAGGGCAGACCCAGGCAAACACACCATGTCAACACCTGAGCTGAAACTCCCAGCCCTCATTTGCAATCCTCGTTTCCCAGAAGAACAGTGGCATCTACCTGGAGCTGCTCCCCCAAACAGAGAGAGGAGCAGGGGCTGCTGCAGGACTCACTCACCCCTTTGGCACTTGTGAAGGCCACTCCAGAGAAGGCGTATCTGTCAACCACGATCGTGATCCCCTGGTGTAGCTTCTCTTTCATCAGCGGTCTGAAACCATGGGGGAAATAAAATAATGAAGTTAGTTACACTCCTTTGTAGTGACAGAAATGAAAGGAGTTCATCTGAAAAAACCAAGTAGGTCAGTACTAACAGAGATCACTGGCAGGGCCAGCTGTGATGTGGACAAAGAGCTGTTTGTATTCCCTGACAGGTATTAACCAAATATCCTCTCAGGACACCCAAATTCAGCGTGCCAAGGGCTAGGCACTGCTCTAGGCAGCTCCAGGGCTTACAGGCAAGATCACAACTGAACTGTATTGATAGGAATGACCCTCTTTAGGTGGTGCAGTAGATTTGTGATACGCTCTGCCCCCTTTATTCACAATAACAGTTGTTACTAGAGCTCACTCATCTGCCTTACTCTCTCACAGTTTTCTTGGCACAAAAGCTTTTCTGTAAAATGAGGACATTTTGCAATATAGGTTTCCAGGTGAAAACAAAGCCAACACCCATTTCCCCACTTCCAGACACAAAGCCTTGGGGGCTAAAGCAAGGACAGCCAGGCCCGGCTGAACGCGGCCATTGGCTTGAGGGGAAATTTGGGGGCAATTCCTTAACCACTGTCACTCACAGGGACTGCCTGGCAAAGCAAGGCCTCTTCAGGGAAAAGAGTAAATTCACAGTCTAGGCCAATTCAATCTCAGCTCCCCAGTTCTTTAATCCAGTGTGGCACAGAGACTGGAAATATGGCCCCAATGATTCCAAAAAAAAACACACTGTGGGACCTGATCTAAGATTACAAGGCCAGGGTTAGAGAAGATAGGGAGTAGAAATTCTTCCCTGTGAGAAAACTGCAGCTCTGGCACAATTTGCCCAGAGCAGCCGTGGCTGCTCCATCCCTGGAAGTGTCGAAGGCCAGGTTGGATGGGGCTTGGAGCAATCTGGGCTAATGGAAGGTGTCCCTGCCCTTGGCAGGGGATGGAACTGGATGGGATTTAAGATCTCTTCCAACCTAAGCCATTCTGGGATTCTATGATTAAATCCAAAGCTGGAAGAGTCCTTGAGACATCCCTTCTAGCCTGCTTCCCTGGCTGAACAGGATCCCAGTCCTGTACTTTCTGTACCCCCTGCAAGCTCAAACCCCGTGGGGATTCAACACCACCCATTTTCTTTTTACAACTGAATAAACTTCCCCCTTACACATGTTCCCAGCGGTTGGCAGAAAAGAGCAGGTGAATGGTGTGGTCCTCCAGGTCCTTCTCCCTCACCAGGTAGGAGCTGATCAGCTGCCCAATCTCCGTCGTTCTGTCT